AAAATATTTGTTGGTAATTTCACTAGGAAGTTATAGCGATGGACCCACAAACCAACGATAATTGTTCCGATATTCATATAAGAAAGACATGCACAAGAATCACCATTTATCTTTGTATTCCTATTTCCCCAACTTACGGATTAGTGATTCGCTAATAAAATGACTTATTTGGTAGTTCGCTATAAACGAAGTAAACTGAAAAAACTTATTGGTTTATGTATTATGCACATAGAAAGAAGTGAGGATTCCATGTGTTTGACAGTCGTTTTTGCCAGATGATAACAAAGAATGTTTCTGTTAGGGTTGAAAAGAGAACTATCACTGGTTCACGTAGTCTGCGAACGAGATTCGGTGACCAACGACCAGTAAGCTAACTATTGATGCGTCCCAGCCCCGCTATCTAGAGAGAGAAGACCAAGCTTAGAATGGAAGTATATTCTGCAACAACCAGAAAACCAGCGGATTTTACAAGACAATTTTAAAACGTATATATATATATATATATATATATATATATATATATCGATATATATATATCGATATTGCCGTGGAGCTTTTAAACATTTAATCGATAGTTCGTCAATCAACTATGTGCGTGGATGGTAAGGAATGCCCACGTATACATCTGCATACAAGCTCCACAAGATAAAATTACAAACTGAGTTTTTGGGGATCTATCGTCCCCAACAGTTTCCTAAAAACTTTAAACTTTGAACAAGCATATTTCTATCGATATTTCATGTGATACAAAATGAAATTCACGAAAAATCACAGAAGTAGTTTCCACACTTCTGACTGACTAAACCTTATAATAAATGGAAATCCGAATCTTTTCTAATACGACTGACAAAAGTGAGAGCTGACTGGTCACTGTGACATTTGTTCTTATTCGAGGTGAATTACTTGTTATTTGATGACTATGTTACACTATTTCATTTAGATATTTTCAATATAAACACTTAACTTATTAAAAGACTAGTATTTGAACGAAGAATATTCTTTTCGATAAATTCTCTTCAGGTTCTACAATTATATATCCAAATTAATAATCCGAAAAATGGCCAGTTTAAGGGTAAAGTACATAGTTTAAAGCATGTGAATTTAGGATTGTAGTAAATAAAATACAATAAAATTGTGCATGTTGTTATGACTCATAAAGAATGTTAACTTGAATCTGAGTTTATGTTCAGTGAGATTTTAAGATCTATGATCAGAATAAATATGGGTCAAGTAGGGTGAGAAAAATAATAGTGCAATTACCATTCGATCAAATAGGTAAGACGTAATAAGGAGGGAAGAATCATGTATAGGGGAGATTAATAATGAATACGAAAAATAATAATAACAATAATAATAATAATAATAATAATAATACAATGATTTATGAATAAAGATAACTGAGAAAATTACAATTGACTACGAAAGGTCATAGTCAAATTACGTCATCCAATAGTTAAGATTACGATTGATTAATTGGCCTTGATGTTGGCCAGGGGAGGAGGAGTGGTTGAATATATTTCTTCTGTACACATAGCTCCGGTTTCTTCATCCGGATGGCTATTGCTTCAGCTGTTTGAAGGACTTTCAGTCTGACCAGTTTGGGCAAAAAATTACTGACCTTATAAATAATTGAAAAAGACTGGTTTATACTGGCACTATGACCAGTTTGTACTAAATGGGCTAATATTGAGCTGTTCACTTTCTTCATCAAACCTTTGTTAAGCCACGCTGGAAGGTGTTCACGAGCACGAAAATGTAAATTCCTAGAACTTCGACCAATGTAACTCGCTCCACAGGAGCAGTCGAACTGATAAATGCAAAATGAGGTGGTCATTCTAGGTAATTCAGCTTTTAGTCTCGGTGTAACCATTGGGCGCGTAGAAAACACTAATCGCAGTTCTCCGGCGTTAAAAGATTTTTGTATTGTCCTACGTAGTCTCTGAGTTAATATTTCACTCGCCACATCCCCTCTGAATTGTAAACGCATGAACAGGGATTTCTTCTTCACTGTTTGTATTTCGCCTATTTTCGCCTTCGTGATCATATATTTAGTTATAAACTTTCTAGGGTAGCCGTTCTCCCTGAGAGTATTATGCAAGCTGTTAAGCTCTTGTTCAACTATATCAGCAGAACATATAGCGCGTATACGATAACTAAGGGTTTTGATCAGGTTTCGTTTGTGCTGTAGAGGTACAAAGCTAAGAAAATGGGTATACTGTCCATCGGTTTTGTTTTTAAAATTTTTTACGGTTGACATTTAGGTATCGGTTTCGTTAGCAAATTACCAGTTTGATCTTCATCAACCGTTCCATAGAATTTAGCAATCAATCACACAGTCAAAACATTTACACTATTAACCTGACAATAGTCAAATGCTAATTAAATTAGAGTGATTACTTTACACAAGTTTTTGTGAAACATGAGGTAACAAACTACTAGTAAGTAGTTCAGAAAAAAGTACAAAACTTGAAAGGCTTACGATAATGAAAATCCAGTATTCATAAATAGAGTTTTCTTCTCTACTGTCGATGCTTTGTCATGAAATCTGGGTGCCAAGTTGCTATAAACGAATCTCGGTGGACAACCGTTTTTGATGAGGGTCTGTCGATTAAATAGTTCCCCATCTGTTGTGTCATTGGAACAGATTCGCTTGATCCTCGAGGATAGAGTGAATTAAGTTCCTCTTTCTACTTAATGGAACCCAACTAAGGAAGTTCGTGTATTATCCATCCTAAGTGGGTTTTCTATACATAGATCTATGTAAAAAACCATCAGGCATCCTTTTTAAACGGACATCAAGAAAATGAAATTCATGGTTTGCCTCTGCTTCTAAGGTAAATTGAATTGATGGGTGACAATTATTGAAAATATCCAAGATTTCATTTAGGTCCATGTCTTCTTCACAAATAATGAAAGTATCATCCATATATCTCTTATATAAATGAAACCTCTCAATTGTTGATCGAAGTACCGAATTTTCTAGATTAGCCACGAAACAATCAGCCAATAAATAGTCGAAGTTCTTCCGTGGGAAGTTTCCCAAAATGTTTTCACCTTTGGATTTCACCATAATACTTTTATGTTCGTCACCCTCACTTTTCAAAGATTTAAGACTCATGAGTAAAAAAATTTGCTACGTTGTGTCACTGACAAGATGAAAAGTTACATATTACTTTGTCACTCTACCTTCATCATAATTAGTCATTAGCAAACTAAAAGGTCAAGTACTTCTGTTAAGTTACAATTCAAAACTTCAATGACTTTCGTCAGTTTATCCAGCTTACGGTCTGAAGAAATTCGATGGTAGTCATCTTGTGGAATCACTTAGAATAGTATCCAAGGTAAAAATGTAGAGCAGAGCTATATGGGTCCCATGAGATCCCAAAAAGCCATGGTAAGTCAGATTGGAATTTGGGGGGATTAAGAGCTCTAGCCAAATGGCCATACGAATAAACGGATCAATTGACGTTAATGTATGAAGTGTAACGCATTTGTAAATCAAGATTAGTAGATCTATGTACCAAAATGAAGTAATGATTAACTGAGAATATTGGTCAGTTATTTCGCGAGTCTTCAGAAGTTTATACTTAAACCTCCATAGAAGCAGGGCCGAATCAGTAGCGTAGCAAAACTTCAGCTTAGTTTGAGAAATTTTACTTGAAAAGAGGAAATATTGCAACAGCACAGGTTCGAAAATAACTGATTATCAAGGCTTTTTTGGTTACTTCGTTCATCATTGATTTTACATTGGACGCTAGCGAAAATAATTGATTCGATAACAAAGAACTGATTATTTTAAGGTTAAGAAACATGACATTAAAAGATGACGTAACTACGAAGGACTATCACGTTGATTGACTTTATTTTAATACCACTGGTATCAAATTAGCCGTTTGCTATTTATGAGCAGAAAATTGAGTTAAAAGGGCGCATTTGTAATTGACCGACTTCTGTAAGCACAGTGATGATTTAGGATATGAGACTTACTATAAAAGATGAGTGAGTGACCAGATGAACTTTTCGTTACATTCGTCAACCAAAGGCCAGAAAACGGTTAAATGAAATATGACCATTAGCTGGAACTTCGAAATTTACACTATGCATCAAAAATTCCAGAACAACTATATATTTTCGGATACAATATTTTCTGATATTTTAAGGAGTGCATATATTAGTAGTGACTTATTTTGAAGGTGTCGTGTCCTCTAAGCTGAATTGTTTAATCGTGTATTTCTTGACAGTATCACGAGTGTACAACTTAATAAGTGACGCTTCTCTCGGTTTAAATCTGTGACAAAGCTTTACATATATCAATGCATGTAGACAACATTGCAAATTAGATCGACTGTGAAAGCATGGAAACATTGGGAAAAGAAAATGCAAGTAATGTTGGAGAATTTTTAAAAGTTCGGATTCTGGTGGTGCACCAATTAATAGGCCTATAGAAGTCGACTCAGCTTATTAACTAATAAGGAAAAGGATAAACAGCTGCAAGGTCAGAGGTCAAAGCAATAGAAATCGCTATGTAAACAACGGCCACAACAAGCAACTAAATTCTAGTTCAACGAAACAACATGCTAGTCATTTGTAGAGAAATCCTAATGAACCACCTCTTATTAATAATGTTGTCCGAAAAGACGATGAAAGGTTCATGAATAAACTATCTAGCTCAGAGAACAAAATGCCTTCAAAATATTCATACCGAGCTACAAATCTTCTCCATAATCTCGGTGAGTTATTTAACAATAAAACGGAATACAAGTAATCACCTATTAATTATACTTCCGGTTACTTAAGTTTATCAAGGCTTTATACAATTCGTTGATTTATACGTATCTAATATGGCATACGAACAAAGTATAAATTGAACGGAATATGTAATTCCAATGTGTATCACTAGTTAGATAGTTCAAATTAAGAAGAGCAGAAATGTGTGAAATAAAATTATTATTTACACGTGAATACCAGTTAACGAAAGAATATAGAAAGACAGAAATCATTTAGTCAGTTAATTCATCGGCTAGATCAGATTGACCAAAAGTATGAGATATAAGATTGATACATAAATTGAAAAATTCAATATCTTCAGCGACAACGCTGCACTGTTTCACACTATTATCAGTAGTAGTAGGAAATGATGACTGCTCAAAATCCTGTAGAGAAAAAAGTTGTAAATAAAATCTATACCTTACCCATCTTAATTTGCGACATCGCCTAACGATAGTGCGAAGATCATGGCATAAATCTGGATGAAATGGTGGCTCCAAAGCAACCAGAAGAGAAAAAATCCACACATTCTATTGATGAAAAAAACACCATATTTTACGCATGCAAATAAATATGGCAAAGGAAAGTAAGCAGATTTTTTGTCAAGTCATGTGATATTTGGTTATGAAAAACAAATACTGTTAATTCGGTTAGCTGTAGGTTAGCGAGTTACGGTACATTTTTAAAGAGATTCAGTAATGTAAATGTGAAATATAGCATTGACAGGAAAGACAAATAAATAACACCTAAGTAATTAAAACTAACGGATCATAAGCATAAAATATCCGCAGAATTTGAACTCAATTTCCACACGTACACTTGGTGTCCATGTACAATTCTGATATTTACTGTAAACTGATTTCAATAATGAGTTATATTAATTGATGAATATAAAAATAGCTTTTGCTCTGGGACAAAAATCAGCTAAACGATAGTCAGTATAGTAGTAGTAATGGAGGTAAGTGGTTATGGGCCGGGAAAATTAACTCATATTTGAACATGATAGTCGATTGAACCCTTGTTTTAAATATTTTGGTTTTTAATTTCAAGTTTTTATATCTAACTAATTACTCCTGTCATTTGTTATGTCCGAGGAGTGCTTAACTAACTTGTTCTTGGTACTGAAACTCTGAATCCGACGATGTGCACTAAAAACACAAAGACTAGTGATACGAATTTATTTGACACTCATAATAAATTAAAATGATGCATGAATATACCACTTTTTATGTGACTTATTAACAGCCAGGTTTGTATAATTTGAACTAAGTAGGGTTTCACATCAATTAACCAATAATTTACGATGTGAACACATTGTGTTGGTCGGTGTTCGATACATTCCTTAAACTCTGTATACAGTTCGTCTCGGTAACCGTCTCTAAATAACGCTCCAACGGTATATTAATCAGAAGGCGAATACGAAGTGTTAATTACGTTTATTATGGGACCACACACAGATATCCAGAATTACAGATGCGTTAAGCAAGCATGAAATAGTTGTGCCGAAAGGCAAACAGGCAAGCGAGCGAACGAGAGAGAGCAAGGGCAAGAGCGAGCGATCGAGAGAGTGAGTGAATGAACGAGCGAGTAATGAATATGAATAACATGAACATATATATACATAGTGAAATGAATAAATCATCGAATCAGTTAAGTGGTTAATAGTAAAGCTAGTAGCGTGAATAAATGCGTAGGCAGTAAGGCTTGCCGAGCATACATGATCATAGATTCGCAACAGTAATAAGGATACAATAAGTTATTATAGTGCAGGTGACTTTGTCCGTTTAGTAAGTTAATAAAAGGGCTTAACCGAATTAGGTGAGAGCAAACTCAATTGAACGTGAGTTGCTATAACATTTTTACAATATCATACTGTGGTGCATGCTACTTAAGCTGACAGATATTAGTCTGTAGCAGCAATGAGAAGCGGAATGCCTGCCAGCATAATATTGAATTAATAAGAACAGGAAGGTAAACAGAGAATAATTGGAATAATGATAGAATTGGGAGAATCAGGAAGTATGTAAACGACAACTGAAGGAAAATGTCTAAATAATGATTTATTGCATGATTTTCATATTTTACGAAGACAGTGTAATTTTGTATAAAACAATAAATTGCTTTTCCCCACCTGAGTTTTCGTTCACTACAACACAATTAGACATTTATAAGCAACAAACATAGCTAAGTGACTAAGTCATACAATTACATCTCAAAATGGGGTCACATGTCACAGACGATCAATTTTATATATCAATTGTAGTCCAATCGATCAAATCGTTACTCTTATTTTTAAATTGAACGTAATCACTCCAGAGCTGATATATCTCTGAGTTTAGTTAAGTACGGATAAACAACTGGTGAAGGCTTTTACTAATCCAAGGTGCGGTAATCTTTACTGATTTAACCCAATGAAAAAATCTTGTGAGATTATGAAACATTAAAAATGTACATTCTTATTTGACTGTGATTTTGTACATATACATTTTTATTAAAGAAATGATAAGACTTTACAATAGAGGATGAATCTATTACTTTATGAACAAATTTCTGATTATTACAATCAGTGAGTACAATCACTGACCAATGGATGGTGTATAATTATATAACGTATGGTCAAATGTTGGCTGCTCACGAGACAGTATTATTGACATAGACCCTCGAACAATTCGAAATCGAAAACAGGAGTAATAGCCAGAGAGGTAGGTTTTATTGTGAGATAAGATGACATTTTTCCATACAAAACGCTAACACGATAAATATTATAAAATGTCATAGGCGACTGAAGGAAACTAGTTTGTAAATCACTTATTCGACAATCGATTAAGACCTGACTATTAGCCTCAATTTTTGTCCATCATATCAAACTCTGAAATCATATATGCAGTAATTTACTACGTTAAGACTAAGATTATCATCTAAGTGGATCAACGAAATATGTAATTGGACTATTATAACGTATGTTTTCTTATTTTGGATTAAGTCTATGTTAACGTATCAGAAAATTATGACCTTTTTATCATTCTTTTTCTCATATCTGTAAAATTAAATTAACTTACCAATTTAGAATCCCAGTGCTTTTTGGTGCATACGGATGCAACCAAATTAATCAATGTCATAATTTCTGACTAAATTATGAAATGGAAAAATATAAGATAGATAAAATAAAAGTGAATATTAATACTACCCTGGTTCGTTGAGCGATCCAAGTTAAGGATGGAGAGTGTTCAAATATTGTTGTTTTAGTTATTGGAATAACAGTTTTAGTCTATGAAAACAAAATTATAGAAACAAATGCACTAAAGTAGTTTATAAAACGTTAATTTATAAGTAAGCATAACTAATTAGATCGAATTAATGGTCTCATTAGTATGTAATTTTAATCTCACCAGTTAATCTAGGTAGTGTGATGGAATTTATCTTTGCTATGATATGATATTTAAGGTGCCTTAGACCTTTTTTAGTCCTATTGTATATATTCCTAATGGGGCAATGGGTTAGACATTCAACGTTTAACCACCTGCTTGCAGACTTAAGTCCTGCTCCACCTACTTCGGTTTGAATAAACAAGCAGTATTACTAGCCTTTACGCAGTGTGGCTCAAAACAGGGTACAAGAATTTGTACTTGGTAAATGGGTTGCATTTATCTCTCTACCTAGTACATATACTTTTATATTTCATCCTAAACCTGAAAGCATTGGACGACCATTTCGTCCTAGTATGGGACTCCTCAGTAGTGCACATCCACGATCCCACATGTGGGACTCGAACCCAGGACCTTCTGTCTCGCACGCGAACGCTTAACGCATAGACCACTGAGCTGGCATCCAATGGTGTTAATGTCTAACTCTAATCAGTCCCATACTAGGACGAAACGGCCGTCTAGTGCTTCCATGTTTTCAATAGTGGTCTAACATTGATTCATTCGTGATATTAATCAAAGAATCACTCTGAAGCTAATTCATAAGGTCCTGTGAATTCACCTCGCCTCAAGTTAGCCATGGCCTTTTCGATCTCGCTGGTAGCCGGAAGGCCTGTGTTAATTTTCCAACCACGGCGTTGATGAATTGTGAAATTTCCTGTTATTCAGATATTAACTAAACTATACTTGTATACCAAATTTTGTCGTTCTAATTTACTGTGTTGTTATAAGCATTAAAACGAGTAACTTAATGATCAATCATGAATAAATGTAACTCATTTGCCAGACCCAGGATTAAGTACTCTCCTGAGTCATACAATTTCGCAACGGCTACTGATAACGTCTTGTTGCCTAAAACGAAATAAGTGAACCGGTGTTCGAACGCGTGACCTAACAGTTGGGGGTTAACTAGTTTAAACATTTCAAAACAATTCTTTTGAATGATACATACTACTAAATCATCTGATATACCAATTTAATACAAAGTTTAATTTACACAATATTTAAACGAATTAATGTATTCACCTTTTATTGTCACAACTGCATACTACAAACGGATCTGTTAGCCTACATAGCTTTTTAACTACTCATAGAATGGTAAGTTACTCCGGAATTATCGAACAGATATCTAAGTCGTTAATAATGTGATATAATTGTGAAGTGTGATCAATGAACGAACCTGTCAATGATAAGATGAAACGCCCACCACTACATTAACTTTCTTTGACCTTGTATGACTATGCCTTGTTTATTCACCAATCACAATTTTATGTTCATTATAAAACAATATTCGCCTTATTGACGCATTTTTCTTATCCTCTAGTTACTGTTCGAAATAGAGAAGGTTTATCAAGCCCAATAGCTTACTTGTTCCGACTTTGGCTAAATCAAGATTATGTGCTCGACAGTCTAGAGAATAGCTTAGTTAAACCTGAAGGAAGTTGCTTCCTACAATAATCACCTGCAAAAATCAAATAGCTCCATCTTGAAGCAACTTTAATAGTAAGTGTGCAAAATCACCACCACTAGGGTTGTTACTTATCAAAATACTTTTAACATTAATCTACATAAAATATTGTGAAGCTAAATATTAGATACGACTGCTTACCATATTATCGGAATTTTTCAAAACTAGTGACTTTAAACATTGGTATTCCTATGAAACAATGAATAAAAATGAGACAGTTTATTACATCAACAGTTTTACGGAAATGAATGATTTGATTTTCTTGTAAACGTCTTGAGATCTTCGTAGAAATGAACTTGCACGTTTTTTGAATGTCATTGTCAGTCGATTTAAAATACTCAATTTCTGAGGTAGCCGTTTGGTTGACCATACTTGTAGGCGGGTCGCGACAACATAACACACTCGGGAATGATGAAGCTTGATACCTATCATTAAAATTATTATTTAATAAACATACCGCACAAATTTTAAGTATTCATCAGGTGATGTAAGAGCCTTCTCGTGATTAGGTGGATCATTCAAATCAAAATCCGAAACTGGCAGTGCTTGCACAAGCAAACCAATATCTGAATCCTCTGAATCGGACATTTAATTGAATGTATCAAACTGGGATTATTCCCTTTAAAATAGATAGACAATACATATGAAAAATGAAGTCAGGTGGATCAAAAAACATGCTTGTGATTACTTTTGATTTGTATTTCACTGTTTTTCGTCTGATGTATCTTAAAAGTACACAAAACACCCAAGAGGGGAACGAAAAGCTAAATATAAATTAGATATTTACTAGGCTTTACAATATTGTTCGCTTACATATGTTGTTCTTATTTTCACAATGTCTTGAATATTTAAAAAAGAAATTATTCATATTGAACACAATAGTGGGAATTAAAAAAGGTTTCTTAAACCTAACTCTACTGAATAATTTCACCACTGACATTTCAGAAGCATCTTTGGAGAAAATGGCAGATGAAGCCGACATGACTTGGAACTTTTCGAGTAGATGAACGAAACCACATGACTGAAATCGTAGTTATTTGGTAAAGTGACTAAATTTAGTGTCTGAGGTTGATATAACGGATGGTTAAAAATATTTTTCTCACTCTCAGATATATTACAATACGTTAACAAAACTAGCCACGTTATATCAGGTAAAGGATTCACGACCCAAAATATAACCAGGGTATAAACTAGATAGTACTTTATCCAACACAATTACAAGCACTTAGTGAGTCCAGAACAGAAATTAATGAGAGGAAATGAAATAACATATTTAAAGGTCAGTAAGCTAAATCCCTGTTTGTCTGCGATCAGTGACCTTCACTACTTCATATCAGAGGCGAAATGTTAAACATGCACTAAAATTTTTCATTCAGATGCATATGCGCTGACAATGTGGTATATGGTCTAGTTTTGATCACAGTTGCTTTTGTAAAACCGCTACCACTCCATAAAAATACCGTGCATTTGATAATGAGGTATTTTGTGTGGACGAAGGTCACTACAACACATCAGCCTTAACATGTTGTAAATATTTTATACATTCTGGTGAAATTACGTACACCGATCGTGATTCGGTTAATTCATAAATGAATATGAGCAACTAGATGGTGGAAAGACCTCATGAAATGAAGGTTAGATGTACTGAGATTACAATTCTTCATGCAGCGTAACTGCTTGGGTTGAGTCATGTAACCCAGAATTCAAGTTGCTGATGATTTTGTATATTTATTTAAGTACAAAAACATTGGTACCATGAGGTACTAAATTTATGTGCGCCACACTTCGTTATTCAATTTGGAATGCTGCACGAACGCCCAAACCGAAGGAGGTGGTTTTCCTAATAGACCACTCTCCGAGTGTTTGACCTGAGGGTCTAGTCCGCAAGACAGTAGGTCAACGTTAGGAGATGCAGTCCCATGGTATCCGGTCACCAATAACAGGTTCATACACCCTTTGTTCCCTCAGGATCCTGAAGCCCATGTGCACCAATGGTTTGGAATCAGGGTTCTCCAATCTCCCTAGGTGGATCCTCCATATCCACCAACCAAGTTAAATAGCTGAACATTCGCTTTCCGTCCTCTTAGTATTATTAACAACGCTCCGGCAGCGAGAAAGTGAATAAGACAACCCCTGTAATGGCTGTATACACAGTCATGTGAGAGCACTTTGAAAGGGAGAGCGGACTCTCGCCATCACCAGCCGTCCCAGAACCCCTGAGGGGTAGCCATGTTGTTTGCCGAGTGAACATTCAGAGAGAAGCCTTAACTCAATAAAATACACCCTAATACTAGAATAACATCATTATGCGACTGTCGAATGAAATCTCACCATTATCTTTGCTTCATCTTTTTGTTTAAAATTATGGTACCTATATTTTACTTTTACCACAGAGTATCTTGATAAAATTCAATCTCAATCCCGATGAGACTATAATATATGGACGACCTTTCAGCAACGTTAAGGTGACATTGGGAATGTCTACCTACTAACAAATACGAAGCGAGGGTTATAAACCAGTGTGACGAATTAGAAATATGGTTAGGGTTAGGAAATAGATTTATGGTGTTCATCAAGAACTGACGTCATCCATAATGTCGAAACGCTATGTCAAGCCGATATGGGTTAATCTGGCTTCCGGACAGATCAATTTGTTCATTCTTCTTGAGTAAATTTTGATTTTGTCAATTGCTTACTCATTAGCTTGACTGTATATGGGCATGTGTATCACTCACCCTATTCATCACGTTCCTTTAGTTTAATTTCGTCTTCGCCGTCCCGCTTCTCATCCTTAATGTCTGTCTAAATAAACGAGTGCCCGAAGTGAATTCGTCCATATCAACCCGCATTTGGCTTCTCATGACCATTGTCAGACAAACGGGGTTAGCATAGATGTAATATACGGAGTTGAAAGGGAGATCTATTCTTATCTCAATCACCCAAGTTTGGGGAAATTTTGTGGAATTTCGGGGAAACATTCAAAGTCAAATGAACTTCACTAAAGTTTGGGGAAATTTTGGGGGGAAAGTCCTCAGGTCTAGGGAAATCTTCGGGTTTTGGTGCCATTTCCCCAAAGTTTATTATAGCGGCTTCCCCAAAATTGGGAGCTCGGGATGGCACATTCAAACGTTGCTTGAAACTTGAGTCATACCAATTGATCACAAAACTGGTGCGCCCCTTTTCTTGATCACTCTACAACTGTAAAACAGTCAGGAGATTTCAAGAACCTATCAAAGGAAAACCATGCACCATGTTGCTCAGACAAACCTGCAGGTCAATGTAGCTTAGTCATTTGAATAAACGCGTGGTAAATTCAAAGTCATATCTCGGTTCGTTCATGAATGACTCATTCAACATATCATGCACTAAGACAAACGAATTCGAGGTAATATCCATAGCCAGTCTCATAAATATCCATCAAAAACATAAAAACACAGCTTGATACAGAGTTATATGTAACTGATCCATGTGCACCGAGACAGGCCATATGATGCCAGGATCATGCACAAAGGCAAGTTGGAGCTGACCATTCCACTTGTGGACTGTCTTGATGATAAAAAACGTGTACAGGACAGGACCTACCAACTCGGCAAGCCTTATATAGGTAGGCTACCTGTCCATTCACGTAAGGCTCATACAGACAAACAGGAAGAATCTCACGCGTTTCAAATTGAAAGCATAAACTGCTTATACATGAACGCTGCGAGTCTACTAAACAAAATGGATGAGCTACGTGAACTTAGCAATGCTGACAAGGATCATCTGATAGGAATATCCTAAATTTGGATATTTTCCCAGTTTTCGGACCAGGAGGTAGCAATACCTTTATTTTTATTTATTTGTTTTAACACATAGATATTGGTACAAGGAGGCACCAAATACATATGCGCCACACGAATCTCAATTGGTTTGTGTGAGGGCTGTGATACTGCCCGGGTGCGCAAACCGAGGCAGGTGGTTTTTTTAGGGGGCCACACCCCGAGCCTTTGACCTGAACGTCTGATCCACAAGGCAGTGGAGCATCGTAAGGAGATGCAGTCCCATGGTAGCCGGTGACCAACGATTGGTTCATACGCCATTTGTTCCCTCAAGATACTGGAGCCCATGTACACCATTGGTTTGGGATCCGGTTAAAGCGCCGGACATTCGCTTTTCGTCCTCTCATTTTCGTAAACAACACCCCCGCCACGTGAAGGCAGTGAGTAGGACTTCCCTGGCAGGGGCTATATACGCGTGGCCATGTGAGAGCGTTTCGAGAGGGAGAGCGGACTCTCCCCACTCCCGGCCATACCAGAGCATTTGGTGGCGTAGCAATACCTGGGATGTCTTTGTTTCTCAACGACAGAAAAACAGGAATTGGGTGTGGAATAGCTGTATACATACAATCTTGCTTGGAGGTACACCATGTTTACAACCATGATTTTAGCTATCTTGGGGAATCCATATAGTGCTCTGTAAGATTGTCTATTACTTCGAGGTGTCTAGTTGGAGTTATATACTGGAAGCCCATTGCCGACATCGAGTATGACAGTCGTATGCTGGAAGGACTATCCTTCTCTACACGTCTCGGTTCCGCTCATATCCTGATTCTATGGGGCTTCAATTTCCCTAGAATCAAGTTCGCGGAACATACGTATATTGGAGGTGAAAACTCAACCGATGCTCGGTTCTTCAACCTCATCGAGTATTAGGGATTATACGAAAATGTGAAGTTGGTAGCTCGTTAGAGAAACAGTCTAACACCGTCGCGCTTAGACTGTGTATTTACAAACGAAGAATTTCTAGTTGAAAACCCCTCAATTCTGGCTCCCCTGGGGAAAAGAGGTCACGCCGTTATAGACTTAAATTTTGTCAGCAAAACTGAGCTAAGTTATCCCACCAACAACAGGCTCTGAAATTTCGAACGGTTGAATGTGTCTGCTCTACAGGACTATCTACAACAGGTGGATTGGGATGTTCATCTTAAACTTGATGTGCATGCTCATCGGGACTTCTTACTGAACACGCTCTTAAGTGCTACAAAGCAGTCAGTCCCTCAAACGGTCCCCAAAAGCTACAAGCAACCTACAATTATCAAGAACCTCACTCTTCGTTTGTTAAGCCGCAAAAGGCACTGTTGGACAGAATACAAACGGACCAACAACAACAGCGCGTACATGCAATACAAACATATAAGGAACATATGCACGAAGGCTATAAGAGAAGTCAGGCTTCAGTACCAGATAAAGCTTGTGGATAAATTTTTTTCCGATCCAAAAAGCTTATTCCGTTACGCAGCCTCTCTTCGTCAAGCCAAAACTGGAGTTCCTCAACTGATAAGTCCTAACGGCCCGATCGATAACGACGGTGAAGCCGCTAACCTTCTGGCTGAGCAATACTCCCGTGCATTTCAACCAACCCACATCAACTATACTGATGAAAGCTTCATCTGCAACTGCACAGGACATTCCGTAGTGAACCTGAGAGCTGACTTGATGTTCCGAAAACTGAAGCATCTAAGAACAGACACTTTTTCTGGCCCAAATATACTCCATTCTGCCATACTGAGGGAAGCAGCTTCAATCCTGGCAACACCGCTTAGCGTGATG